ATTCTATATGAAAGAAGCGGAAGGGTAACACACATTAGTTAAGGATGACTAGCTGTCTGCTGGCATTAGAGAGAGCTTAGAGATGCCCTTCGACAAGCTGAGTTCGATTCTGAGAATTACTCCATTATCCTGCATGTGAAGATTAAGAGATGTTATCACCACTTGATTCAATCGGTTATAAAAAACAAAAGAAGGAAAAAAGCTGCATAAAACTCATAAGTGTGTCGTCTGCAGAACCAAGTTAAGCACGAATTGTTGAACAGTATGGAAAGTCACCTTGGATCGATCTGTGAGAGAGAGAAATATATTAATTTTTGAACCCGGAGTCAGCGTCGAAGTAGAGCTATGAATCTGAATTAAGTGATTGTTTCACGATAAAGATTTCTCCAGAGGTATTAAAATGATTGGAGAGCTGAGACGGAAAATGAATAGAGAAGAAACGAGACAGGACTGTACTGGAAGTTATGATCTTGACTCGACGAGGTCCGATGATCATGAGAGAAAGAGGAGGAGTCGCAAAATGCATTATAGAGAATGATTATGTGTTTCGCATTGCGGATTGATCATATGAAATGCTGGGATCCCCGAGCGGTGAGATGAGATGATGATGTGATGAAAAGGCGTTAAATGAGAAAGAGATCTAGGAGATCGGAGCAGGGGGACATCTTAGGGTAGACGATAACAAAGATGATTGGGAGATCACATGACAGAGGGATATGTACCATTGAGAGCGAGATTGGAATTGAGGAGGAGTTTTCTCAGATTATTTCGTGATAAGATTTGATTTATATACGATGGGTACCTAGACGAGAGTTGCGCTTGTAATATGAGTGGATGTGTAAGACCGAATCTGGCGGCCTGTGAACAACATTGATTGCTTCGATGAAACCATAGCAACGAGGAGGCTATGGAGATATACTGCGATCATTTACGGATGGATGCTCCTTAGATTGTCGATTTTCTTTTTTGATTTGACGTTGGGCGATGAATAATTGATGGTTACTTGTTGTTCCAGTTGGGATGTGTGTTTTGACTCATGATTGTTATTGATAATCATGGATGGTTGATTTATTGGAGTTGATGTCATGTTAGAGTTTGACTAAAGTCCTTCTTTGCGACAGCATGTTGAGTGATCGTGTGGTAATAAGTCGGTTAGACTAGAGTCGTGACTGCTAGGAACTCCTCTATGTATCGATAGTTTTGGTTGTTGTGCAGAGTCCTTCGAAGTAAGAGAGAATCAGATTCCTCGAGTGAGAGATTGAGTGATGTAGAACGTGAGCCTTGCGTAGTATGGGGCATACATCCGCTATTCGCATAGTCATTATATAGAGTGTGAGGCTATGCTCGAATCAGATGGTCGGGATACACGCTCGACTTAGGAGGATATGGAAGGAGACTATTAGTGTATTATAGAACATATATGGCTTTGTGTATAATGAGTCCATTCCGCCAAGTGACGAATACTCGAACGATCATGTATCAAAGTATTACTAAGGGATAACAGCGTCATATTTTCCTCTTGGCATTTTAAGATAACCTATAAAACACCTGAGCACACTTTGGAAAGGAAAATCCACTGGTTCATATGACAGAGAAGAACATTTCAAAAAGGAAGGTCCAGTGGTTAACATCTCGTCCAAACACATGTAATCCCATGTGACTAGAAAGCAATAACAAATCTGCATTAAGCCCAAGATGGAAGGAAATACATTAGTTTCCCTTCCTGAAGCCTGGACTGATCAACACTCCAGCGATATACTTTCACACAACCAATTTCCGATGTTTACCAGTCATGCAATACGCGTTTATGTAAGGATTGAATTATTCATCTTTATAGTAATGTCGGTAATACATATGTGATCTCATAAGCTTTCACCATTATGTTGTGTAAAGGTTGCTGAAGGTCGACTTGCTATACTGAGTGAAGATCATCCGTTCCTTGGAGAAATAAACAAATGAAAATGAGGATTTTATTATTTACGTTGCCTCATGTAACGGTGTTAGAAATAGTATGAGTTTTTGAAGTAGTAGAGGTAATAGTAGTAAAATGTTCCCCAAAACAGATGTCTCCTTATGCATATTCCAGGTATAAATCGTGAATGTATCCCTGTTTGATAGTCCAACAATAAGCAGAATGACAATACACTGTGTTTCATGTTTTTTTTTTTTTCCTCATACATTTATAGGAAACAGGCACCACATACATTTCAATTGTGATTAATTAAATCATAAATTATATAATTCTAAAAACAAAGTGAAACGAAAGTAATTGATGGCTTTATCTGATGAACCGTTCTGTTACAATTATTTTATTGATCTATAACTTAATACATACCATACATGAGTTGAAGTAAATCTGCATTATGATTAATAAAAGTACGAATGGCCTTCGCAGCAGCACCAACATCTGGAACAATTATAGAAGTAAAACTGGGAATAAAAGAAGAAAAACAAATTAGAAGTTAGTATAGTTGAAATTGATGTTAATATCGGACTTCCACTGGTAATATAATATTTACGTTATTATCATTATAAATATTACAATAAAATATGTTTTACATTTATACACAGCTAGATTGATGCAACATGTTTATATATACACTATACAAATATATATGCATAAATATGTGAAGCCATTTATTTATATCTGTACATATATATAAATATAAATATGTATATATATAAATATATATATAAATATATATATATATAATATTATTAATATATATATATATATATACACATAAATATATATACACATAAATACATATACATATATACATATAAACACATACACACACAAATAATAAATATATATATAATATATCTATATATATAAATATATATAATTATATATATAGTATATATACATGCATATAAATATTATAAAGTAACTATATGTATATAGAATAGATAGATAAGATAGATATAGATATAAAGCATTATAGTAATATTTAGTATTATATACATGTACATTAAAGAGACAAGAACAGTAAAATACAATAATAGGAGTTAAATAAGAGAAAGAAAGCAATATACATAGCATATATCTGGACATATATAAAAATATAAATTAAGGTATAATAAATACAAAAGTAGATACGCTATATTACCGTTAATAAATACTAGTGGATATCTATATATAGTAAGATATTTAGAGGTAAAGAGAAATAATACAAGTAATATAAATAAACATATAAAATAAATAACATTAAAAAATAGTATATGGAAAAAAAAAATAAAATACAATATTACATACATACATACACTACATAATATACAATAGTATGAAATATACATTTATAAATAAATACATACATACAATAAAAAAATATAAATATAGTGATAGTATAATGGAGTACATGCATACAAGATAGGCATATATATGTAGTGAGCACATATATTATACAATGGATACATACAATATAATATATACATAATATATATATATACACACATATATTAAGTACATAGTTATAGTATACACACAGGCATATATAGCATAGCGAACATACATAGTTATATATACATAAATGCATACAGTATATATAGTAATATATTAGGTATATTTACATAATATATATATATATATATATATATATAGCATAAATACATATAAATACAATTAACATACGAGTGACATATGTATACATCTGCAGTATACATACATATATGCATACTATATATATAGTGGATGTATAATATATATTATATAGTATATAATATATAAAATATTATAAGGGATGCAAAAAAAAGTTACCTAGTCTTCTATGATATATATATACTATATTGTGTGTGGTTGTGTGTGTCGTGTGTTGTGTGTGTGATGGTTGTGTGTGTGTGCTTGTGTGTGCTCGTTGTGGATGTGTGTGTGTGTGTGTGTATGTTTGTGTTTTGTGTCTTGTGTCTGTGTGTGCGTGTGTTTTTCTTTGTGTGTGTGACGCTATACTATATTGAGATATACGGTGTACATTTACACCACACTCAGCGCACGAGCGCGCACGCAGACGCATCTCCTGCTTATTTTTAGAATAAACATTATATATCATTGAAGAGAAAGAGAGGGAAAAATATAAAGATATACCTATTTTACACACACACAAGCAACACAACAGACACACACACAACACACGAGCAACACAGCACAAATCAACACAAGCACTAATACTTATGATATAGCGAATATAAGGAAATATGAGTATATATATATATATATATATATTAGTAGGATAATTAATATTGATATTATGTAGATGTAGTATATAGTGAATGGATTGTATAGTGTAAGTAATAGTAGTGTATATGTGTAAGATGTAATTATGATATGATGAATATAGTATAGATATATATGAAGGTAATATAAAATGTGTGGTGAAGTGTGAGTGTGATGCTGCCAGTGTGTGTGTTGTGTTGTGTGTTGTGTGTTTGATGTGTAATTAAATAGAGACGATTATTATATATAATTATTATTCAAAGTTAATACATTACACACACAGAGACATACATAACATAGGACGGTGTACTCGCTGTGTTTACCTATATTG